CCCCCCCCAGAGGGGCAGCCCCGCCCAGCCGCCGCCGCCGCCCCCCTCCCTTCCCGCCCTGAGGCCGCCGCCGCCGCCGCTTCTCCGGCCTCCCGGGCGGGGCGCTAGTGCGGGGGGGGGGCGGCGACGGAAGGGCCCACCGCCCGCGCCCCTCCCCCCACTTCCGGCACCCCCTCACCGGCTCTGACGGCCGCCAGCACCGCCCTGCGCAGCCCCGGCCGGCCGCCCCCGGCGCCGAAGACCACCACCAGCGAGAAGCGCTCCTGGGGCGGCGCCGGCGTGGCGGGGGCAGCAGCCGCGAGGGGGGCCATGGAGAGGCTGCCCCGGACGCCGCCGCCGCCGCCGCCTCCGGCCACCACAGCCGCCGCCATCTTGGTTGGCGCCTCCGAGGCGTCCGTTGGCCCCGCCCACCCGGCGGGCCCCGCCAAGACCCTCGCCTGGGCCCCGCCCCCTGCGCTGCCGCCCGCCAATAAGCGAACGAGAGCGGCGGCTGGGCGTGGTCACGGGGAGGGCGCCGCTGGGAGCGCCGGGGTAGGACGCGGAAGGGGAAAGGGCGCCTCTGAGCATGGGCAGAGGGCGCCGCTGATGCCGGCCAGCCCCAGCGGAATGGGAGGAAGCGCACAGAAGCCTTGATGTGCTGAGGGTTTACTGCGGAGTCTGAAAGAAGGCGCGCCTCTGCGGTGGTTTTTTCAGCCTGGAGCAACAACGGCCTCCCTAGGAATGATCCGAACCCGAGAGCGCCCTCTGTGCACGTGCAGAGTTCCCCGCGGGGCCTGCAGGAGGCCTGTCTGAGGCTGAGCGAATAAACCTCCCTCGGGGAGAGTCCCTGTGCAAAGCCTCCCCCCACCCCGCAGAACAACGACGGGATTTTTAAAGGAAAGTGCCCTTTGGGCAGGCCGCTCGCGGAAAGGCTGTTCCTGGCCACGTGCAGAGTATCCTTCCCGAGCAAAGTGAAGGCGGCTCAGTTGGGGAGGGAGAGGAGGGGGAGCGCTTTTTCCTCCCGGACTTACGGAAAAGACGTAGGGGGCAGAGCGCTTTTCGGTGGCTAAAGGAATCCCGCCCAGCAGTGAGAAAACATAAAGGCAACGCCTGCAAGGGGGGAAGGCTGGGCCCTCCTGCCTCCTCTTGGGTGGAAGGGGGGGGGCCCCGGCCCCCCCCCCCCCATCTGCCTGCAAGGGGGCTGCCGCCTTGATTTGCAGCCCTCCCGCCCAGGTGCTTGTGACTTCCATCCCACCCCCGGGGCTATAAAGCCTCGCTGAGGACTAACCACTTGCCAGCACCTGGAAACCTCGCTGGGTAGGAAGGGCCCCCTTTTGACTCAGGATCGGCCTCCTCTCCCGGCCCCTGCAGCCTGTGGGCCTGTGCAACGGGGAACCCTTCTGGGGCCCTAGGAATAAGGGGAGGGGGCTGAGGGGGGCAGCCTTCTGAGTCCTCCCAGCTGCAGGCAGGGAAGGCGGCCTTTCTCCAAGGGTTGGGCGGGGGAGGCGGACTTCCTCTGCCAAGTAGCTGCGCTCAGCCTGGTCACTTCTGGGGGTGAGGCTGCCCCCCCCCCCGTTTTGCTCCTCTAAAGCACTTGAGCAAGTGGGGTGCCATGCAGCCTTATGTGCAATGGTTTTAAATATTTAAAATATTGTAGGCATCTCTCGTTTAAATGTTGTTCTTAACTGCCAGCTTTTGCACATTCTGAAACTTTTCTGTTGATATTTTTAAAAGTCTGGTTTTGCATGAAGATTGCCCTGGAGCAGTGGGGGGGGGGGCGAAGGGGGAGGCAGAAAGTACTGGTGGGGGGATGTCCTTGGTGATCTCTGAGCATGAAGTTTTCATTACTCAAAGTGGGTAACCTCAGTGTTGGTTAAGAATGAGGTTACGTAAACCAGCCCCCTCCTCCCTCCCAGCACTGATGACGTTACCTAGTTTGGGTCATGAAACGTCTGCAGGAAAACCACCACGCGGAGAGACCCCCACAGACCCCCTCAGTTCAACCCTGAGCTACAGAGATTCTCCTCTATGGGAAGCGGGGCGTGTGTGTGTGTGTGTGTGTGCAGATCTGCGTGTCTCGTGCCTCCGGTGGCCCTGGTGCATTTTCTCAAGTGGCGTGCGCTGCCTTCCTTTCACGTAAAGCTGCTGCCTTGGGGAAGCCCATGCGAGGCAGGATGGGGGCCTGGCAGCTCCTGCGGGGCGCAGGCTTAGCTAGGTTTTCCAAGGGCAGCCAGCCTGAGGAGGCCTGGGGTCCCCTCCCCACTTCTGAGCAAAGGGGGGTTTCCCCCCCCCAGGGTTAGGAAAAGCACTTTAAGAGGCTGGCAGGGGAAATGGGCTTTCCAGACCCTGCTGCCCCTGTTGCCTGGGTCCCTAGAGCATGCCTGCTCCTGACCTGGCCCACCTTGCAGGGCTGATGGGAGGGGCCCAGGCACCCAATTCAGCCATGTTGCTGTCCTTTCACACACACACCCAGATCCCGCAGGGACCCCCGTCTGCTGAAGAATGGACTCCGCCTGTGGGACCTTGGTGTCCTCTCAGACGGCTTTGTGTCTGTCAAGACGGCCTTTGATGGATGCTACACTCGGGCTCAGGTAAGAGAGGGGCTCATGGCACAGGGTGGGAGAGGCCCTTCTCCCCACCTACCTGCACCCCGCCCTGCCCAGCAGTGGATGCAGCCGGAGAGCCGCTGGGGATGGACAGAAATCTTGGCAGGGCTGTTGTGCCTGAGTCTCCAGTCTTGCTATGGTGGCCCTTCTAAATTGTCTCAAGGAGCCCCGATGGCCCCTGCCTTCCCCGCAGCCTTTCTTAGTCAGGATTCCCAGGCATTCCGTCCAAACAGCCCAGGGTCCTGGCCGTTGGAGTGGAGTGCCACTTTATAAGGCCTTGCTATGGCCACACCTGGAATACTCCATCCAGTTTTGGTCCCCACACCACAAAAAAGACGTTGAGACTCTAGAAAAAGTGCAGAGAAGAGCAACCAGGACGTTGAGGGGACTGGAGGCTGAAACATATGAAGAACGGTTGCAGGAACTGGGCCTGGCTAGTCTAGGGAAGAGAAGGACCAGGGGAGGCAGGAGAGCAGCCTTCCAATACTTGAGGGGATGCCACAGGGAGGAGGAGGAGGAGGAAGCGGTCAAGCTGTTTTCTAAAGCACCTGAAGGCCAGACAAGGAACAATGGGTGGGAACTAACCAAGGAATAGAATAGAATAGAATTTATTGGCCAAGTGTGGTTGGACACACAAGGAATTTGTCTTGGTGCAAATGCTCTCAGTGTCCATAAAAGAAGAGACGTTCGTCAAGAGTCGAGAATCATCAGGTACAACACTTAATAATAGTCATCGGGTACAATAAGAGATCAAATCATACTAGGAAACAGTCAATATACATGTGGGAGAGAATGGATTAACGTAATAGTAGCGCAGACTTTGTAAATAGTTGGACAATGTGGAGGGAATTATTTCTTTAGCAGAGTGATGGCGTTGGGGGGAAAAAAACTCCCCTTGTCTAGTTGTTCTGGTGTGCAGGGCTCTATAGCGTCGTTTTGAGAGAAGATGTTGAAACAGTTTATGTCCGGGATGTGAGGAGTCTGTAAATATTTTCACAGCCCTCTTTTTGACTCAGGATGCAGGTCCTCCATGGAAAGTAGTTTGGTAGCAACTGTTTTTTTGTTTTTTTCCTGCACTCCTAATTATCCTCTGGCATCTGTGTCTGTCCTGTTGGGTTGCAGAGCCAAAGCAGGCGGCTCTAGAGGTGCGGATGACAGGCTCCATCATTCCTCTGTAGAACTGGATCAGCAGCTCCTTTGGGGCAGTTTGAACTTCCTGAGTTGGCGCGGGAAGATTCTTCTTCGGAGAGATCCAACCTACCATGTTTTCCCCAAAATAAGACCACCCTGACTTTTAGCTGTATAGCCCCAGGAAGCAGCCATGGCTCCCCAAAGCCAGCACTGTGACCCCAAAGGCAGGGGGGCTGGGAGGGACCGCCGGCTCTTCCTCCCCCACCAGGACAGGAGCTATCAGATCACCAGGCAGAGCGAAGGCATCAGGCCAGGGGGACGGAAGGCCGCCTTACAAGGAGGAGCTGAGGCGCCCAGAGGCCCGTCTAGGTAGGCAGCAGGCTTTTCTCATGGGGGGGGGTCTGCAGGGGCCCTGTGGCTCCCGACCTTCGGGTCCACGTGCTGCTCCAGTGCATCAGCCGCCTGTTGAAATGGCAACATGTGGGGTGGGGGCCCCCCTGGGGTCTCTGTGCTCCTGGCGGTGCTGTGGAGCTTCCAGGCAGGGTCCTATTACAGCACTTCTGAAAACGGGGGTGGGGGGGGGTGGCCTGTCATTCCCTCCAAGCACAAACCAAAGCAGGGAGACCCTCCTCTGCCCAGCCGTCCCCCTCTTGGGGAGAGAGGAGCGGAAGGGCTGCTGATGAGGCCAGGCCCCCCCACCCCCATGCGTGCCAGAGGCTGCCTGCTGAGCCAGGGAGGAGGCGGCCACCGGCCTGGTCTCTAAGAGCCCCCCCCCCCCCCCCCCCCCCCCCCCCCCAGTGCCAGGGGGCTTCCTGTCCAGCTGCCTTTGTGCCCAAAGCTGCTGCAGGCCAGGAGGGGGCGGTGAGGTCACAAAGGGGGGCTGTTGATGCGGGAGAAGCCCACCCTGGCAACTGGAGGAGGCCCAGACCCCTGCCCGCCTCCTGCCGAGCAGGTGCCAATTGGCATGGCTTCCCTCGCACTCCTGGCGCTTCTGATGGCCCCTGCTGGGATGGGGTGGGAGCCGCAGGCTGCGGTGGTGCTACCCGGGGGTAGGTGTGAGACAGGCGAGAGGGGGGACCGCTTCCCACGGCTGCCCCACAGGGGAGCCCCAAATTCACCCCCGCCACAAGGGGAAAGGAGGTGCTGGCTCAGGGGGCCTCGAGAGAGGGCCAGTGGCACCAAGGGGGCAGCTCCCAAGAGGTTGTCCCTCCCCTGGAGCTTCTCTGTCCTGGGGCCCATGGAGCAAGCGCTGTAGGTCCTCGCTGCCCCCAGCTTCCGTGCTCCGTTCAACCAGGGACCCTTTGGGGCTTTGAGCAAGGAAGGTTGGGGGCCTGGGGGAGCCCCCGCAGGAGCGCTTCTCAGTGCAGCTGCCCAGGGAAGTGGGGGGGGGGCAAGCAGCACAGCCTCCCCAAGTGGGCTCTGTTGGAGAAGGGGGGGGCAGGGGGGGGGCTTTGGGCTCCCCCAGCCCTCCTGGGCCAACAGCCAGCCAAACTGGGTTGGGGATCCCCAGGGACCCATTCTGAGCTTGGCCTCTGCAGGCCCCAGCCCCCCCCCCCCCCCCCCCCCCCCCCCCCCCCCCCGAAGTGAGAGCTTCCTGAAGCTACTGCAGGATAAGTGGGGGTGCCCAGGGGGTCTGCTGTGGATGCCCCATGGCTGCCCTCTCCCACCCCAGTCCTGGATCCCCCCAGCCCCAGCCGGTGCTCAGCGGTGCAGCTGGCGGAGCGGCTCCCCTGCGGCTCCCCTCGGGTCAGCCACGGCCAGTGCTCCCACTTGGGCTGCTGCTTCGACCCCCAGGACAGGGTGACCCCCTGCTACTACGGCAAGACAGGTGAGACCAGACCCCAGGGGCCGGAGCGAGGGGGCAGCACCGGGGCTCCTGGCCAGAGACAGGCTCCTGGGAGACCCTGGGACAGACCCCTTCCCCGGAGGGGTAGCAGCAGCTGCAGCAGACCCCCAGAGGCAGCCAGTCCCCTCCTTCCGGTGCCCCCAAGTCCCTTCTGGGGGCCCTTGGGGCGAGTCACGGCCTTCTGCTCAGCCGTTTCTGCTGCTTCTTCCATCTGGTGCCCTTGGACCTGCCCGGTGGGCTGGGCTGCCCCAGACGGCTGAACCAAGACAAGGCGACTCTGCCTGGGGCTGGGCGGCCCCCGTTTTCTGGGGCTACAGGGGCCCTAAGTCATTCTGTGGGCCCCCACAGGGCGGCTGGCAAGCAGCGCAGAGGTGAAGGGGCCGTCCCTGTGAAGGGAGAGGGAGGGCCAGGGGTGGGGGGTGCTGCTATCCTCCGGGGAGGTCATCTTCTGCCCCTCCCCCACAAGGCCCGGGACATGGGGAACGGTTCTGTGAACTTGGAAGCCAAGAGACCCAAAAGGGATCGGGGGGGGGGGGTATCAGGACCATGAAGGGAACTGAAACAAGGGACCCTCCGGCCGGCTGGCTGGGCTGGACAACAGTGATGGTCAGTTGGCTAGCCATCCCCCTGAGGAAGGAGACCTTGGAGCCCGATCTCTGTCCCTCCCAAGGCCTTCCTGGGCCAGGGTGGGAGGAAAGGGGGCACCTGACCTTTGACCCAACAGACCCCCCACTCTCCCTTCCTGCACAGTGACGGCTCGCTGCGCCCCAGGCGGCTCCTTCTCCCTGGCCGTCTCCAGAGACGCCGCTGTGCCGCCCCTCCGCTTGGACTCCCTGCACCTGCTGAGCGGCCGGGGGGGCCCCTGGGGCCCCCCCCCCAGGAACGAAGCCTTGTGGTGGTCCCCTTCCCACGGTCTGCCTGCGGGCCCCCCCTCCCGGCGCGGGGGGGGGCCGGTGCCCCGGGACCCGCCCTCCGGGGGGGGCGGGGGGGGCTGGCTGGCAGAGGCCCCCAAGTCTCTCCCGGGGCCTTGCAGCTTCTCGTGGGGGGCAGGGGGGGGGCTGGGCTGCAGCTTCTCTTGGAGCCTCGAAATGGTCGCAGAGAGAATTGCTGGAGTTTAAAACGCTTAGACAGGCCCTGCTGGAAGGGGAGGGAGGAGCTGGAGAGGGATCCCCTCAGCCAGCTCTTTCCGCGCCAGGAGGCCGGAGGCCACCGGATCTACGAGAACGAGCTCTCGGTAGAGGGAGGGACCCTCCGGGCACCTTCAGGCTCCGTCAGCCAGGCCAGCGGCTTCTTCAGGTGACCGCTGGGGGTCCCTGGGCAGCAGGAGGTTGGGGGAGGGTGGGAGGGGCAGAGCCAGGGCCCCAGGCCTGGGCTGAGATGGGGAAGGTCCCCACAAGAGGGGGACCAAGCCCCTGCCTGCGCCCCCTCCAGCCCTCGGAGCCCTTGAGCTGCACGGGCTCTCGGCCCCCTCCCAGGAAAGCAGGGCGGGGCTCCAGCCAGCTCTGGGCCTCCTGCTGCTTCTTCTGGCTGCGTCCTCCCGGGCCCCTTCTTGCCCTGAGCAGGGGTGGGCCTTGATGACCTCAAGGGTGCCTTCTGCCTCCCTGACTTCACTGCCACCCTCAAGGGGGCCAGAGGAGCTGAGAGAAGCCCCCCCCCCCCGCTCCCTTGCAGGCTGACCATCCGCTGCGGCTACTCGGCCGGGGAGCCCCTCCCGGTGAGCGTCCTGCTGGCCGCCCCTCCTCCCCCGGCCCCCGTTGCCCAGCAGGGGCCCCTCGCCCTGGACATGCGGATGGCTGGAGGTAGGTGCCCTTGGGGTCAGCAGGAGGGCCTGCCTGCTGCTGCTGCCGCCGCCGCCGCCGCCACCACCTCAGGGGCCTCCTTCCTCCGCAGACGAGAGCTACTCCTCCTTCTATGGGCCTCTGGACTACCCGGTGGCGAAGCTTCTGCACGAGCCGGTTCCCATGGAAGTCTCCCTCCTCGGGAGGCGGGACCAGGCGCTCCGCCTGCTCCTCCGCGAGTGCTGGGCCACCCCAAGCGCCGACCCCCTCCGGGCACCTCAGTGGCCCCTCCTGCAGGACGGGTCTGTGACGTGGGTCTGTGGGGGTGGGGACACACACACATGCCTTGACCAAGACTGGTCAAGCCTCCGCAGTCTCTGGCCAGAGCTTGACCGGGGGGGGGGGGGGGAATTGCGGTGCAGACCGGCTCCCTTGACCCTGTGGGGCTCAGCCCTATTTCTTCGTGGGGGGCCCCCCGGGGCCCATGATCAGAGCGGTTTTCCCAGCGGGGTGGAGGTCCCAGTTTCCCTGGTCCAGAAGCCCAGCCGCCCACAGAGCCAGGAGGGGCTGGTTGGCCGCAGCCCTCCCCTCCCCCTGGTCCCTCCGCCCGTTTTCCCTCTGCAGCTGGCGCCACTTGAAGCGAAGTGCGGTCCTCTCCCGGAGGCCGGTGGCGCATGAGCTGCCGGTGACGCAGGGCTGCTGCCCCCTCTGCCCTCCAGGTGCCCCTACCGAGGAGACAGCTACCAGGCCCAGCTGGTGCCCCTCCAGTGGGATTCGGGGCTGCCCTTCCCCTCCCACCACCGGCGCTTTGTGGTCAGGACCTTCCCCCTTGTGGACACAGACGCTCAGCAGATGCTCAGCGGCCCGGTAGGGTCAAGGGGTGGGGGGGACTGTCCAGAGCGGGGGAGGGCTGCCCATGAGGGCCCCGGTCCCTTTGCTTGTGGGAGGCCAGAGCACAGCAGGGCGAACTCTCTTCCTGCCCTGAGTTCGGATTCTGAGCATCCCATCCTGGACGCCGTGCTGCTGAGCCAAGGGGAGAGGTTTTCTGTGCGTTCTCAGAGGCACTGTCTCCCTCCCGGAACCATAAGCCCCTCTGCCTGAAGGGAGGGAAGTTGGACTTGGGGGGCCCATTTCCCCCCAGCAGTTGACCAGGGGGCCGTGCGCGTGGGGGGCGAGGTCCTTCCAGGCTGCCGACCTCTGCGCCCTTTTCCCCAGATTTACTTCCACTGCAACGCCTCTGCCTGCCTGCCCTCCGCCCAGGAGCCCTGCGGCACCCGCTGTGAGGCCGGCCTGCAGGGCAGACGTGAGTTGGTCCTCTGCTGCGGAGGGTCCCTCTTGGGTGGTGGGGGGGCGGCTACGGGGATCACACTGCGGTGCTCACACCCACGCACACACGCCCCCCCCCCTTCCTCTCCGCTCCAGGCCAGAGAGATGCCCCGGGAGGGGCTCTGATGGAGGCGGGGCAGGTGCTGCTGATGGCTTCCACTGGGCCCGTGGATTTCTTCAGCACTCCCGTGCAGGCCTCCCGTCCCGAAGGTATTAAAGGGGGAGGCCTTGGGGGGGGCGGGTCGCCTTCCCCCCAGCAGCCCCTTCGGAGGGGAAAACAACGTGGCGGGAAGTCCG